TAGAGACGACTGTGGTCTCACAGTGGAGCTCTAGAGACGACTGTGGTCTCACGGTGGAGCTCTAGAGACGACTGTGGTCTCACGGTGGAGCTCTATAGACGACTGTGGTCTCACGGTGGAGCTCTAGAGACGACTGTGGTCTCACAGTGGAGCTCTAGAGACGACTGTGGTCTCACGGTGGAGCTCTATAGACGACTGTGGTCTCACGGTGGAGCTCTAGAGACGACTGTGGTCTCACGGTGGAGCTCTAGAGACGACTGTGGTCTCACAGTGGAGCTCTATAGACGACTGTGGTCTCACGGTGGAGCTCTAGAGACGACTGTGGTCTCACGGTGGAGCTCTATAGACGACTGTGGTCTCACGGTGGAGCTCTAGAGACGACTGTGGTCTCACAGTGGAGCTCTAGAGCACGACTGTGGTCTCACAGTGGAGCTCTAGAGACGTCTGTGGTCTCACAGTGGAGCTCTAGAGACGACTGTGGTCTCACGGTGGAGCTCTATAGACGACTGTGGTCTCACGGTGGAGCTCTAGAGATGACTGTGGTCTCACGGTGGAGCTCTATAGACGACTGTGGTCTCACGGTGGAGCTCTAGAGATGACTGTGGTCTCACAGTGGAGCTCTAGAGACGTCTGTGGTCTCACAGTGGAGCTCTAGAGACGACTGTGGTCTCACGGTGGAGCTCTAGAGACGACTGTGGTCTCACGGTGGAGCTCTATAGACGACTGTGGTCTCACGGTGGAGCTCTAGAGACGACTGTGGTCTCACAGTGGAGCTCTAGAGATGACTGTGGTCTCACAGTGGAGCTCTAGAGACGTATGTGGTCTCACAGTGGAGCTCTAGAGACGTATGTGGTCTCACAGTGGAGCTCTAGAGACGACTGTGGTCTCACGGTGGAGCTCTAGAGACGACTGTGGTCTCACAGTGGAGCTTCAGCTAATGCGACTTTAGCTAAGAGCCCTCGATGAAAGCAAAAGCTGCTCGTTAAGGATTTAAATAGCAACAACATTCCTAATCTTCTCAGTTTGTCACGTGTGGCAGCACACGATTAGCTCACTTTCTTGAGAGAGAGAGGGCGACTGAGAGAGAGAGAGGATGACTCAGAGAGAGAGGACGACTCAGAGAGAGAGAGAGAGGACGACTCAGAGAGAGATTGAAGACGACTTGGAGAGAGAGGACGACTCAGAGAGAGAGAACGACTCACACAGAGGGAAAGGATGACTCAGAGAGAGAGGACGCCTCAGAGAGAGAGGACAACTCAGAGAGAGAGAGAGGACGACTCACAGAGAGAGAGAGAGGACGACTCACACATAGAGAGAGAGAGAGGACGACTGAGATGCGCCAGGAGGAGGAAGGACCACAGACGAGGAACAATTGCCCGAGGTCTGCGGTCCTCTACATATTAAGGTATTATCAGCAAATTGAATGAGCACGTGTGTGTCCGTGTGTGGTGAGGAAACGGCGGTGTAGCGTTTGGCGCTCGCGTTCAGCACCAGTGACGATTATTTGAACAGGTCCTGGGCCTCCCCTAGGTCGACTCTGCCTCAAATGAACACCCGGTGAGGTGTGTAAAAACATCGCCGCTGGGGAGAGACAAAGGCGGTCGGGCGTGGTGCTGGCAACCCACCTCCCCGCTAACAGCACTTGCCCCAACAGCCTGCCAAGACTATGAGGGGGATCTTTGTCTTTGTTCGTTTGGAGGAAGCCCGGAGCGCCTGGAGAAAACTACCGCGGGTACGCGAGAGGGGGCAACCCTCGATCCCCGTGCAGACCGAACAGATGGGGATTAAGCAACACTTACATGGCACGGCACCACGTGATACGGCTCCTCCGAGACGGCCAATGGGAAGGGGGGAGGTCACGAGACCTGTGGATGGTCCACCAACCCTCCCTGCTACAAGCTACTGCTACTGCTGCTGCAGCTGCTGCTGCTTCTGCTTCAGCTGCAGCTGCTGCTGCTGCTGTTGCTGTTGCTGCTTCTGCTGCTACTGCTGCTGCTTCTGCTGCTGCTACTGCTGCAGCTGCTGCTGACGTGAGGTGAGGGGGTGAGAGGTGAAGGGGTGAGTTGGGAGGCAAGACGCATCGATGTATCGTTGTCCCCCCTGTTTGATGGGGTCTCCCCGCGGTGAGTGGCAGAGAGGGAGACCCCTGGTGGCGGTGGGGGGGTGGTGAGGGGGGAGAGGGAGACCCCTGGTGAGGGTGAGGGGGTGGTGAGGGGGGAGAGGGAGACCCCTGGTGAGGGTGAGGGGGTGGTGAGGGGGGAGAGGGTGACCCCTGGTGGAGTGAGGGGGTGGTGAGGGGGGAGAGGGGGTGGTGAGGGGGTGGTGAGGGGGGAGAGGGAGACCCCTGGTGAGGGTGAGGGGGTGGTGAAGGGGGAGAGGGAGACCGCTGGTGAGGGTGAGGGGGTGGTGAGGGGGGAGAGGGAGACCCCTGGTGAGGGTGATGGAGTGGTGAGGGGGAGAGGGAGACCCCTGGTGAGGGTGAGGGGGTGGTGAAGGGGGAGAGGGAGACCGCTGGTGAGGGTGAGGGGGTGGTGAGGGGGGAGAGGGAGACCCCTGGTGAGGGTGAGGGGGTGGTGAGGGGGGAGCGGGAGACCCCTGGTGAGGGTGAGGGGGTGGTGAGGGGGGAGAGGGAGACCCCTGGTGAGGGTGATGGAGTGGTGAGGGGGGAGAGGGAGACCCCTGGTGAGGGTGAGGGGGTGGTGAAGGGGGAGAGGGAGACCGCTGGTGAGGGTGAGGGGGTGGTGAGGGGGGAGAGGGAGACCCCTGGTGAGGGTGAGGGGGTGGTGAAGGGGGAGAGGGAGACCGCTGGTGAGGGTGAGGGGGTGGTGAGGGGGGAGAGGGAGACCCCTGGTGAGGGTGATGGGGTGGTGAGGGGGAGAGGGAGACCCCTGGTGAGGGTGAGGGGGTGGTGAGGGGGGAGAGGGAGACCCTGGTGAGGGTGAGGGGGTGGTGAGGGGGGAGAGGGAGACCCCTGGTGAGGGTGAGGGGGTGGTGAGGGGGGAGAGGGAGACCCCTGGTGAGAGTGAGGGGGTGGTGAGGTGGGAGAGGGAGACCCCTGGTGAGGGTGAGGGGGTGGTGAGGGGGGAGAGGGAGACCCCTGGTGAGGGTGAGGGGGTGGTGAGGGGGGAGAGGGAGACCCTGGTGAGGGTAAGGAGGTGATGAGGGGGGAGAGGGAGACCCCTGGTGAGGGTGAGGGGGTGGTGAGGGGGGAGAGGGAGACCCCTGGTGAGGGTGAGGGGGTGGTGAGGGGGGAGAGGGAGACCCCTGGTGGGAGTGAGGGGGTGGTGAGGGGGGAGAGGGAGACCCCTGGTGAGGGTGAGGGGGTGGTGAGGGGGGAGAGGGAGACCCATGGTGAGGGTGAGGGGGTGGTGAGGGGGGAGAGGGGGACCCCTGGTGAGAGTGAGGGGGTGGTGAGGGGGGAGAGGGAGACTCCTGGTGGGGGTGAGGGGGTGGTGAGGGGGGAGAGGGTGACCCCTGGTGAGGGTGAGGGGGTGGTGAGGGGGGAGAGGGAGACCGCTGGTGAGGGTGAGGGGGTGGTGAGGGGGGAGAGGGAGACCCCTGGTGAGGGTGAGGGGGTGGTGAGGGGGGAGAGGTTGACCCCTGGTGGCGGTGAGGGGGTGGTGAGGGGGGAGAGGGAGACCCCTGGTGAGGGTGAGGGGGTGGTGAGGGGGGAGAGGGAGACCCTGGTGAGGGTGAGGGGGTGGTGAGGGGGGAGAGGGAGACCCCTGGTGAGGGTGAGGGGGTGGTGAGGGGGGAGAGGGAGACCCATGGTGAGGGTGGGGGGGGTGGTGAGGGGGGAGAGGGAGACCCTGGTGAGGGTGGGGGGGGTGGTGAGGGGGGAGAGGGAGACCCTGGTGAGGGTGAGGGGGTGGTGAGGGGGGGAGAGAGAGACCCTGGTGAGGGTGAGGGGGTGGTGAGGGGGGAGAGGGAGACCCTGGTGAGGGTGGGGGGGGGGTGGTGAGGGGGGAGAGGGAGACCCTGGTGAGGGTGAGGGGGTGGTGAGGGGGGAGAGGGAGACCCCTGGTGAGGGTGAGGGGGTGGTGAGGGGGGAGAGGGAGACCCTGGTGAGGGTGAGGGGGTGGTGAGGGGGGAGAGGGAGACCCTGGTGAGGGTGAGGGGGTGGTGAGGGGGGAGAGGGAGACCCCTGGTGAGGGTGAGGGGGTGGTGAGGGGGGAGAGGGAGACCCATGGTGAGGGTGGGGGGGTGGTGAGGGGGGAGAGGGAGACCCTGGTGAGGGTGAGGGGGTGGTGAGGGGGGAGAGAGAGACCCTGGTGAGGGTGAGGGGGTGGTGAGGGGGGAGAGGGAGACCCTGGTGAGGGTGGGGGGGGTGGTGAGGGGGGAGAGGGAGACCCTGGTGGGGGTGAGGGGGTGGTGAGGGGGTGGTGAGGGGGGAGAGGGAGACCCTGGTGAGAGTGATGGGGCGGTGAGGGGGGAGAGGGAGACCCTGGTGAGGGTGGGGGGGGTGGTGAGGGGGGAGAGGGAGACCCCTGGTGAGGGTGAGGGGGTGGTGAGGGGGAGAGGGAGACCCCTGGTGAGGGTGGGGGGGTGGTGAGGGGGGAGAGGGAGACCCTGGTGAGGGTGAGGGGGTGGTGAGGGGGGAGAGGGAGACCCCTGGTGAGGGTGAGGAGGTGGTGAAGGGGGAGAGGGAGACCCTGGTGAGGGTGAGGGGGTGGTGAGGGGGGAGAGGGGGACCCTGGTGAGGGTGAAAGGGGTGGTGAGGGGGGGAGAGGGTGACCCCTGGTGGCGGTGAGGGGGTGGTGAGGGGGGAGAGGGAGGGAGACCCCTGGTGGCGGTGAGGGGAGTGGTGAGGGGGGTGAGTGGCCGACACAGGAACGAAGTGAATAGAAACACAAAGCCTGCACCTCTACAAAGTAACCGCACGTTTCACACATCCCCTCAGCCGCTCGGCCTACCTGCCGGGAGGGCGTGTTACACATCACCATCGGTTCAGCAGGAAATACAAGCGAATCCAAAAACCGGTTTTGACGTTCAGTGTCTCATCAGCAGTCGCAGCTGTGCGAACCGCTGCTGCTGAACTGCCGGATGTTTGCAGTCAAGGAGTCCCCTTTCTGTTAGACGCGGGTCACCTGGTGAGTGAGTGAGGTGTGCAAGCTCACCTCGAGCGGTGAGATGTGAGAGGGAGAAGCGTGGTGGGTGCCACGTGGTTAGTGACACGTGGTGAGACACACGTGGTGAGACACATGTGGTTAGTGACACGTGGTCGGTGACACGTGGTGAGTGACACGTGGTGGGTGACACGTGGTTGGTGACACGTGGTGGGTGACACGTGGTGGGTGACACGTGGTGAGTGACACGTGGTCAGTGACACGTGGTTAGTGACACGTGGTGTGTGTGTCACGTGGCGAGTGACACGTGACGACTACCGCGCTCACCTTGAGTGGCGAGATGTGTGAGTGCGACACGTGGTGTGTGTGACACGTGGTGAGTGACACGTGGTCAGTGACACCTGGTCAGTGACACGTGGTGAGCGAGTGACACGTGGTGAGCGACACGTGGTGTGTGTGACACGTGGTGAGTGACACGTGGTTAGAGACACGTGGTCAGTGACACGTGGTCAGTGACACGTGGCGAGCGAGTGACACGTGGCGACTACCGCGCTCACCTTGAGTGGAGAGATGTGTGAGTGTGACACGTGGTGAGTGACACGTGGTTATAGACACGTGGTCAGTGACACGTGGTTAGTGACACGTGGTGAGCGACACGTGGTGTGTGCGACACGTGGTGAGTGACACGTGGTTATAGACACCTGGTCAGTGACACGTGGTCAGTGACACGTGGCGAGTGACACGTGACGACTACCGCGCTCACCTTGAGTGGAGAGATGTGTGAGTGCGACACGTGGTGAGTGACACGTGGTGAGTGACACGTGGTTAGAGACACCTGGTCAGTGACACGTGGTGAGTGACACGTGGTGAGCGACACGTGGTGTGTGTGACACGTGGTGAGTGACACGTGGTTAGAGACACCTGGTCAGTGACACGTGGTCAGTGACACGTGGCGAGTGACACGTGACGACTACCGCGCTCACCTTGAGTGGAGAGATGTGTGAGTGCGACACGTGGTGAGTGACACGTGGTTATAGACACCTGGTCAGTGACACGTGGTCAGTGACACGTGGCGAGTGACACGTGACGACTACCGCGCTCACCTTGAGTGGAGAGATGTGTGAGTGCGACACGTGGTGAGTGACACGTGGTTAGAGACACGTGGTCAGTGACACGTGGTCAGTGACACGTGGCGAGTGACACGTGACGACTACCGCGCTCACCTTGAGTGGAGAGATGTGTGAGTGCGACACGTGGTGAGTGACACGTGGTGTGTGACACGTGGTCAGTGACACCTGGTCAGTGACACGTGGTCAGTGACACGTGGTCAGTGACACGTGGCGAGTGACACGTGGCGACTACCGCGCTCACCTTGAGTGGAGAGATGTGTGAGTGCGACACGTGGTGAGTGACACGTGGTGTGTGACACGTGGTCAGTGACACGTGGTGAGTGACACGTGGTCAGTGACACGTGGCGAGTGACACGTGACGACTACCGCGCTCACCTTGAGTGGAGAGATGTGTGAGTGCGACACGTATCCGTGGACGCTCTCCAGCTGCGACAGCTTCTTCTCCGACACGTGGACGAGCTCTGGGGCAACCGACATGGCCGACATTGCCGTGGCCCCACTGCCGACACCACCGCCGCCTCCACCGTCGCCATCGTCACCATCGTCGCTTGGCGCTCGCACGGGACTCTGCTCCGGAGGGGAGCCATCGTCATCCTGGTAGCGGTATTTCTGCGGAGGCAAAAGGTACAAAGGTCCCTTGAACAGAGTTCCACAATGACACGGCGGATTTCTTCGGGGTTAGATCACGTGACGATATACATGCTGCGTCGGGGAAACCCGCTACCACCCGACGCAGGCAAGCAGTAAGAGTTGTCGCGTAGATGAAACGTGACTGATTCGTTACTAGCACAGCACTAACCGGCGTGTTGGAGAGTAAAGCCACAACTTTTCGATTTAAAGCTTTTGTGACTGCAGGGATATATAATTATATATTTTTATATTTACTTATTATTTTTATGTTTTATTTTTATTATTTTTTTTTATTATTTTATTACTTCCCTTCTACGTGACTTTACCGAAAGAACCAAGAAGATAAACCCACAACATTTACAATTCGAGTCCGACGTTTCGCCAGTAATTACAACCAGCATCATCAGGCGACAGCCAGAGTTGGGGAGAAATCCTCCTGTTGTCTCGGTCTCATATCCCTTTTCACTGCTGCTGTGCGATCCCACATGAATCATTTTCAAGGGGATTTCTTATCATTGCGATGTGGGGTTTTTTGCCCGATAGCAGTTACACTGTTTGCGTGGGTTTAGCTTTGGGAGGGGAGGATCCGGAGAGAGAACTTACAAACTCCACGTCAACATAACGTGGCATGGGTTGTGTGTTGCAGAGCGAATTCCACGACATTTACAATCTGAGTCTGACGTTTCACAAGGTCTTACAACCGTCATTACCAGGCGGCAGCCGGGTTTAACAGCACATTTATGTTTACGCGATCTAACCCTACAAACTGTAGTTATGGATGATGGTGTTCGCGAAAGCCTACGTGTTCAACTTGAGCAGAGCCTTTGGAGGCAAGTGCTGTCAGTGAGTTGAAACTAAACTACACACGATTCATGTATTTATTTGACCTGGTAAGGCACACGCTGAAATCTGTAGCTCTTTAATTTTTTTTCAGACGTGACCTGGTCAATCACAAATGATAGCAGCTCCACAAAGTGAACTCATCGTCATCATCGTCGTCATCATCGTTGTCATCAGCATCATCGTCATCATCATCGTCGTCATCATCATCATCGCCGTCATCATCGTCGTCATCATCATCATCGTCGTCATCATCGTCGTCATCGTCGTCATCATCGTCATCGTCGTCATCGTCGTCATCATCGCCGTCATCATCGTCGTCATCATCGTCGTCATCATCGTCATCATCATCATCATCATCGTCGTCATCATCGTCGTCATCATCGTCATCATCATCATCGTCGTCGTCATCATCGTCGTCGTCATCATCATCATCGTCGTCATCGTCATCATCGTCATCATCATCGTCATTATCGTCGTCATCGTCATCATCATCATCGTCATCATCGTCGTCGTCATCGTCATCATCGTGGTCATCGTCGTCATCATCGTCATCATCTTCGTCATCATCATCGTCGTCATCGTCATCATCGTCGTCATCGTCGTCATCATTGTCATCATCTTCGTCATCATCATCGTCATCATCATCATCATTGTCATTATCGTCGTCATCATCATTATCGTCGTCATCATTGTCATCATCGTCGTCATCGTCGTCATCATCTTCGTCATCATCATCATTATCATCGTCGTTATCGTCATCATCATCGTCGTCATCGTCGTCATCGTCGTCATCATCATCATCATTATCGTCGTTATCATCGTCATCGTTGTCATCATCATGGAAATTTACAGCAGCAGTCAAACACTCTGAACGCGTGGTGATGTTGATTCTAAATGTGGAGCAGGAAATTAAACCCGGAGGACCCCGGAGAAAAATCCACGGGAGCACCACAGGGAGAGAGAGAGAGACACACACCGCAAACTCCAAATATACAGCAGCAGGCATTGTCGGGGTTCGGGATCGAAAATACGACCTCCTGTATACCAAGTGAGGTAGTTAACATATCCTAGCCACCGTGGTGATGATGAAAGAGAGACACGCAAACTCCAAATATACAACAGGCATTGTCAGGGCTTGGGATCGAACCCACGACTCCCTGTATACCAGGCGAGGTAGTTAACATCTCCTAGCCACCGTGATGATGATGAAAGAGAGACACGCAGACTCCAAATATACAACAGGCATCATCAGGGTCGGGATTGAACCCACGAATTCCTGTAGACCAGGCGAGGTAGTTAACATCTCCTAGCCATCGTGGTGATGATGAAAGAGAGACACGCAAACTCCAAATATACAGCAGCAGGCATTGTCAGTGTTCGAGATCGAACCCACGACTCCCTGTATACCAGGCGAGGTAGTTAACATCTCCTAGCCACCGTGATGATGATGAAAGAGAGACACGCAGACTCCAAATATACAACAGGCATCATCAGGGTCGGGATTGAACCAACGACTTCCTGTAAACCAGGCGAGGTAGTTAACATCTCCTAGCCACCGTGATGATGATGAAAGAGAGACACGCAGACTCCAAATATACAACAGGTATCATCAGGGTCGGGATTGAACCCACGACTTCCTGTAGACCAGGCGAGGTAGTTAACATCTCCTAGCCATCGTGGTGATGATGAAAGAGAGACACGCAGACTCCAAATATACAACAGGCATTGTCAGGGCTCGGGATTGAACCCACGACTTTCTGTATACCAGTCGAGGTAGGTAACATCTCCTAGCCATCGTGGTGATGATTAAAGAAAGACACGCAGACTCCAAATATACAACAGGCATCGTCAGGGCTCGGGATTGAACCCACAACTTCCTGTATACCAGGCGAGGTAGTTAACATCTCATAGCAATTGTGGTAATGATGAAAGAGAGACACGCAGACTCCAAATATACAACAGGCATCGTCAGGGCTCGGGATTGAACCCACGACCTCCTGTATACCAGGCGATGTAGTTAACATCTCCTAGCCACCGTGATGATGATGAAAGAAAGACACGCAAACTCCAAATATGCAACAGGCATCGTCATGGTTCGGGATCGAACACACGACTTCCTGTATATCGGATTCCTCCGGTATGAATACATATTCTGATTCTGACATGCAACTGGGAGGGGGGCGCTCTGGGAACGCGTCTCCTAACGGGCGCGGTCGGATAAAACCCGGAACGTCAGACAACGGGGAACCCCAGCGTTCGAGCGCCACCAGCCGCCCACACCCCGATGGCGAGGGTGGGGGCCCTTCCATGCACCGCCCCCCTCCACAAAACAATAAATCAATATAGATATTTATAGAAACATTCTGCACATGTTTGATCAATCTGGCAACAAAACTGATACCTTTTTTTACAAGGAGTCATGTTTGCACAGACCACAATACCTGCAGTCATAGTGCAAATAAAAAACATAACTCTGATAATGTGTGCACTGTCCTTCCTTAAGGAAAGCTGTCTCGGGTGTGGACCAATCAACTTCAAGGATAGTGCATACATTATCAGAGTTGTGCTTTTTGTTTGCATTATGACTGCAGGTATTGTGGTCTGTGCAAACATGATTCCTTGTAAAAAAAAAGGTGTCAGTTTTGTTGCCAGATAGAAAGGTAAAAACACAATTATCATATTTTTTTACTGGCAAATGAGGTTCTAATAATGTTTGATCAAGTTGAGGGATATTGCGGGGATATCTCAGCAGTGATTCGAGGATGTGGTTTTTGGACGATGGTAGTTCCACTGTGGGTGTGGGTTTAGCTATGGGAGGAGCAAAGTGGAGGACCGGGGGGGGGGGCGGGGGGGGGGGAGAAAACCTACAAATTGGACACACACTCACACTGTACAACAGGGGGAGATCATACAAACTCCACTCACTCACACTCATCCACACACTCTCACTCAAATACTCACTCACTCTGCAGAACAGGGGGAGATCATACAAACTCCACTCACTCACTCACACTCACCCACACACTCTCACTCGAACACTCACACTCACTCTGCAGAACAGGGGGGGATCATACAAACTCCACTCACTCACACTCACCCACACACCCTCACTCGAACACTCACACTCACTCTGCAGAACAGGGGGAGAACATACAAACTCCACTCACTCACACTCATCCACACACTTTCACTCGAACACTCACACTCACACTGTACAACAGGCGGAGATCATACAAACTCCACTCACTCACACTCATCCACACACTCTCACTCGAACACTCACACTCACTCTGCAGAACAGGGGGAGATCATACAAACTCCACTCACTCACACTCATCCACACACTCTCACTCAAACACTCACACTCACTCTGCAGAACAGGGGGAGATCATACAAACTCCACTCACTCACACTCATCCACACACTCTCACTCGAACACTCACACTCACTCTGCAGAACAGGGGGGGATCATACAAACTCCACTCACTCACTCACACTCATCCACACACTCTCACTCGAACACTCACACTCACTCTGCAGAACAGGGGGAGATCCTACAAACTCCACTCACTCACTCACACTCACCCACACACCCTCACTCGAACACTCACACTCACTCTGCAGAACAGGGGGGGATCATACAAACTCCACTCACTCACTCACACTCATCCACACACTTTCACTCGAACACTCACACTCACACTGTACAACAGGCGGAGATCATACAAACTCCACTCACTCACATTCATCCACACACTCTCACTCGAACACTCACACTCACTCTGCAGAACAGGGGGAGATCATACCAACTCCACTCACTCACTCACACTCATCCACACACTCTCACTCAAACACTCACATTCACTCTGCAGAACAGGGGGAGATCATTCAAACTCCACTCATTCACTCTGCAGAACAGGGGGAGATCATTCAAACTCCACTCATTCACTCTGCAGAACAGGGGGAGTTCATGCAAACTCCACTCACTCACTCTGCAGAACAGGGGGCGATCATTTAAACTCCACACACTCACACTCATCCATACACTCTCACTCGAACACTCACACTCATTCTGCAGAACAGGGGGAGATCATTCAAACTCCACTCACTCACTCACACTCACCCACACACTCTCA